TTTTCACACGAAAATAGTGAAAACTTGAAGTAATTAAAAATAATCAAAGTTGAACTTTTCGTAGCTGGCGGCACATTCAAGCAAATGATCGCCGATAGAGATAATTGCGACACTATTGCATCCCCTAATTCGATGAATGATTATTATGAGAAGTTCGTAGGAAGAAACGCCGATTCTCCTACGATTGATCAGTCAACGGACAACGATTTTGAAAAAATTGCACACCGAGAAAGTAATCCGGGACCGAGTGCTTTATACGATTTGATCTCACCTCGCGTTGTGCAGGAGCATAATCCCAAGAGGAAATCCGCACAACGGGAAGAAGAACTGCACATGCTTGCACTTTCGGAAGCGCAGATGAAGGTCGACATCGCCGCCATGTTAAAGGAGGAAGCGAGGCTCAAATTAGAGGAGGCTCATTACCGCAAAGAGGAAGCTAGGCTTAGAATGTTGCTTTTTACTTATAAACTAGACAGGATTAAAGACGAATGAAGGAAGGCGGATAATTTTGTTGGATATGGCATGTACGCGTGTTGTACATCTATTATTTTTCTTTATTTTTGTTGCACCGATGCATCGACGCCGGTGTTCGTAAGCAAAATAAATTGATTATATAATATAAAATATAAACGTAATTGTGTGTCTCTATATGTAATACCAATTTACTTCTCATAAATGCACAATTAGAATATTAAAATAAATACAAGTTTTTTGAAGGATTTTACTTGCTAATAATTATTGCATTATGCGATATTATTCAGCTTGTGATGAACGTTACGAAGGTGTGACTTTTGACGAACGCAGACGCAACAGACAAAATTATGACGGTAAAATGAAAGAAGAAAGTTTTGATGTTCATCCATTATTTGGATCAGTCGTTTTTAGTATAACAGCACAGAGAACTCGTTTGTATCTTTATTCCAAATTTTTAGAAGAAATATATATAAAAAATAAAATATAAAAGATAGAAATATATATAAAAGATATAAAAAAGATAAAAAGATATATAAAAAGAAAATAAGTTTTCTTTGCGTCTAAAAATACTCTTGATTATTTGAAACTTAAATTTCTCTATATTATTATAAGAGCTATTTTGCAGTCATTTTGGAATGTCATTTTGAAAGAGATACCAGATGCTATTTCTGGAATATCTTTAGGAAATATTTTTATAATATAATGTTTTTAACTTCTCGATTATTAGTAATAATATTATGTATAAACAATATATAAAATAATAAATGCTTGACAGAGTCTTTAGTTAGCAGAGTCTTTATGGGGGATTGGCAGTGAATTATTGACTAGTGACAGAATAGATCGTGAATGCTGATTTGTCACGGATTAATTGTCGTTAGTCGGTTTCGTATACTCTTATTAAAGTAAATAAATAAAGCAGGGATCGTTCGCGTTGTGTAATTTCAGGACCGATCTTCTCACGTATTTCTTCTACATAAGATGAAAGTTGTCGCCGAGAGTCGATTTCGAGGTGTTCGAGCAATGGGTGACCTCAAAAAGCGAAGGATCGGTATAGATCGGTTCGCTCGGATCGAAACCGCCACGTCGACCGGTGGATAATCCCACAGCACCCTCCAAAGCGGTGGACGACGAGGCAAGACGTTGGCTGATAGCATTGCTCATTGATCTCGAGATCGATCTAATTAAACATTACTATTTGTTACGACCTTCATTATAAATTTAAACTTTATACTATGAATAATGAGAAAATAATAAAATATCAACGCTTGAAAAAGAGTTCGATTGCATTAACTGGAATTCAAGTTAAAAATGAACAAATCAAAATTTTCTGGTTGAACTTATACTATAGTTTTAGTTAAACAAATCAGACTTCTGATATGATTTGAATCTGGTTCATTTTCAACCAGAAAGACATAGATGCGTTTAGCACTTACGACGCCTGGAACGGTTTCTGAAGACCTGTCCTCATAAAAGAAAAGTTGTTGATTCGACTGCTGTAAGGCTCATCGGAATGGTTGCTGCGACTGCAGGTTTTGTCGAGTCTACGATTTTTCATAATCACGGAATAAACGTATTTTCTGAAATAACGAATCACTTTAAATTTGCTTAATAAACAATGAAGATGCGATCCAACATACTGTATTAATAATACTATAAGCTTATAACTATTCATGGGTTAATTTATTTTTATGAATTTACTCTTAAGGGTCTATTTATTCGTTGGGGTGTGTTTTTAAATAATAAAATTCGAATGAATTATTAAAGGTAAAGGAATTTATAGGTAAAATATAAGTTCTACCTGTAAACAAGCATGGACAAGAGAACAACGGAGGCCAAGAGCACCACGAGGATGCCCACTGCGGTAACCAAGCCGTAGTATTCGTTTTGCGTTATACAAATATTTTCCAAGAGTAGTTTGCTAGCTTTAGTTTGCTTCTCGACGATACTATCTTCTTCAATGTTCATTCTTGAGTCGAGAACCTATCAAAATACAAATAATATTATTGGTCGTGGAATAGAAATAACCTTTCCATTCCTTCGAAACGAAAACGATCAATCTTGATACCTCTATCATTTCTCTGACGTGCTCTTCCTCCTCTTCGTTGTCCAGCTCATCGTTCGCAGCGTTGGTCGCATTGAAAATTGTTGTTGACGCATTGTTAAAGTCATCATTCGTTACTATTATCGGCGATGCCTCGTCCTCGTCCGTCACTGTATCGTTATTTACGTCCCTTCGCCGTCTGCCGAAGGACGGTTCGCTTCTACCGGTACCACCACAATACGCTGGCTGACAGCCATCGCGGCACGTTCGTACATTCGCTTCGAACACCAGGAAATTTGATTCGGGTATTTTGAAGGCGTTGAAGCGGGCCTCGAGGCTGTCGCCGTCGCGGAGGCGGTCCAAACCCGGAAACACGTAGTTGTCCACTGGACAGCTGCAGAAATTTCCGTTTCAATTACGCGAATACGGTAGATAGATTGCGGAGGTAATTTAATTTATCCAATTGTTATGTAACTTGAATATCTCAATAAAGGCCAAGATAGAGAAAAAAATAATGCAATGATGGCTACGTTCCGATATTCATTGCCAGTGTTGAAAATCTATAAGTGCACGTAATGTAAATTATAGATTTTCAGTACTGGCAGTGATTATCGGAATGCAGCTGATGTTGTATTATCTTCAGTATAGATAATGCTATTATAATATTTCTCTTTTCGTTTTTTTTTCTCTTCCTTACTGCCTCTCATTATTAGGAGTTTCGATGTTTCTTACCCATATCTGTCTATTAGTTGAACACTTTTGCCAGAGTAAGGATCTCTTGCAATAACGTTAGTAGCAAATATATCCGTTACGTAATTGTACCTATGGACAATAATGATTGGGATTTATTAAAATTTATACGCGATTATTACGAAATATTTTTAATGCGAAGCTCTTGTTGATGTTTGATAAGCAAAAATTAATTTGGCAGTTAACGGAATAGAATCGATAGCGATATCAAATAATTATTTCCATATAATTTTTTAATTGCATTAATTGGATATCAGATTAAAAGATGTATAAATTAAAATTACCCATCTTGAGCTTCGAGTCTGAAAGTGAGAGGGTCGCCAACGGCGATGGTTGTCGTAGGTCTACCCTGATAGAGAATCAGCAAACGCACTCTGGAGCTCAGAGTATTTTCCGCTGGGAGATATTCGATAGGGATGGGGGACCCTGATCTGTACAGTGGACGCACGAGATCCATTAGCGAAATTGAATGAATTACAAGTCTAATGAATGTAGTGGAAAACATGAGCATATCCAGCGGTGGAAAAAATTGGGACGATCAATTATTTATTTATTTTTTTTAATTTTTAATTATAAAAAAATAGAACTTTATTTTCGACTCTGAATAATATTTTATTGTCACATAAACTATTTTCATTCTTCGATCAAATAAATAATTTCTGAAACTTTTGTTAGGTACATTTTTCACAGAGTTTCTAATACATGAGAGAAATTTTCGTTAGATTTTTGAACAAAAAACAGAAAATGCGATAAGATATTAATTAGTACTTTATTCACGACTACATTTTGTTTTTAATAATTGTATCTCATCTGTACTGCCTTCAGAAAAAGATGAAAATTATATATGATTTTTACAAAACTTAATATTATTCTTTTTTAAAATCAGGAAGCAGAAAGAGATTCTAAAGCTCTAAAATATCCCAAAAAGTAATTTATTAAAAATTGCTGTTTATGTTATGAGAACAGAATTAAATCTCCTTTCCGAAAACAAATCCTGGATATGCCCATAATGGAAAAGGTGTATATACACATGAAAGATGTAATGCGGACGACATAAATCGACGCTTTAATTGGCTTTCGTTTCTAAATTTCAATTTTATCAATTCATATACATTTTTTTATGTTTTAATCAAATTTATTTAAATATTATACTTTTTTTTTTAAAGATGAAATGACTATTATGTCATAATTAATAGTATAAAAACATAAATTTTCTGATATCATAATTAATCCGTACTCTGATTAATTTTTTAATAAATGAGTCGTTAGCATTTATGCATATCTGTAACATGAAGTAAATAAAGTATATGAAAGATTAGAATGTGTGCATAATATCTTCAAGATTTAGGACTGAATGTGTGATATAAAAATTATACGAGCATATTTTCACCTCGTATTATACTTGATTTTATATTGTATGAAAGGTAGTGCATTTTGCTTTGTTTACTGTAACAAGCTATACGTGGTTCCATGTTAACATACGAAATTAATGGACAAAGGGAGGCTAGAATAACATTGGAACAGTGCCATAATATTAGCTCAACGGATATAAAGATGGAGAACTTGTCTAAAATTAATACGATTTGTTAAAAAAAGAATCCTGTAATATAAAATTGTAAAAAGAAATATTATTTGTTAAAAAAAGAATCCTGTAAAAATATAAAATTGTAAAAAGGAATATTATTAGGTAAGTCCAAAGATTTTTCTCTCGATATGACTTTATTTACATAATTCAGTGTCCCGGGGTACCTATGGCATTTAACGCGTTAAAGATCGTGCTTTAAGGTACGATCTCTCTATCGATATGACCTGGCATACCCGGCACCGATGTAGCCGGATGTGACGACAGCTTCGTCAGGTCCTCGAAACATGCATGTTAGGTTGAATCGTTTGTCTCGCCCGGTTTGCACGTAGTCCGAAAATTGCACCACCACGATGTTTGTCATCGTATCGCCGTACTGCAAACATTCGCCAATGAAGCGTGTATTACATCGATTATTATCATCAAAATTTCAATTTTAATATCAGATACGGATGTTTGAAAAAAAAAAAAAGAGAAGTATCTTGTTAATAAGAAATTTTTTTAAATGAAATTATTATAAATAATTCTTATATACGATGTCTGGATTAAAAGTTATTGTGAAATAATTTTCTATTTGCGCGATTTAAAGGGTTTAAAGGGTTTAACTCATAATAAGGTTTTGAAATCATTCCTTGAACGTCATGCGCGAAAGTGAAAGATTGCAGCTTAAATTAAATTGGAAATTACTTCGGAGTGGATCATGTTGTTAAGCGAAAATATATGCTCTTACTCGTTGTGTGCCACACTCGGGATATCCCTGAGGTCCGCTGATACGGAGTTTGTTCACGGTCCTGCCGTTCCCGCGGAAGAAGCATCGGTCATAGTATCCGTACGTGTAAATTCGCCCAATGAATCCCTCCGGCGTCCTCAGAGTAAACTCCATCCCGTCCTCGCTGCAGACTTGACTCACTAAAAGCGTAACAGAGCGTAATTCGTTGTGCATAGCTTCCGGAAAACGGTCGATCGAGGAGGGGCGCGTTAGTACGAAATTAATTAAATTGAAAGTAATAGTAACAGAAATTGTTCGAAGGCGAAGTGGTAACGGTCAAATCAATTTCATTCTGACAGATCGGCGCTGAAAATTATCAATCGCATGTTTCTTTTAGCACAGTATGCAGAAAATAGATTTCCTGAGAGTCAGGCGTGCAATATAATTAATAACTATCGTTATATGTAAAATGCACATTTAAATAAAATGGACATTTTAATTTGATTTTGAGCAAAACTAAAAATTTAAGCAGCAATTCATGCTCAGCACACTCGTGATCGCTCTTTACTCTCAAAATTACTGTGTCGATTGCAAACTGTAAGTTGCATGAATAAAAAGAACCGCTGAGTGAAAAGGAAATAAGAGATAGTAGAAAATCCTCAAAGTCTAAGCAGTACAAATGTTGTATAAAAATTATAAGAAATAAAACCAGAACACTAATTAGCCAAGAGATAGTCAGCAATTAATATATTTAAGATATTAAAAGTTGGTGTTTGAAGCGTTTAGATACACAGTCAACAAAATTATATTATGTCTATTGTTATTATAGTATACTTTTTTATACAGAGTACAAAAAAGTTGTATTGAGGTTGGAGAGGGATAAGAAATTGTTGACCGAAGATGTTTATAAAAATGTATCACAAACATCATCGACGAAGTAGATTACGCGCATGCGACATGCAAGAGGGAGAAGTATAAATAAAAGAACGACATTAAATATTTATTTCGTAAAAGTAAAGTCGTGTGACAATGGTGCAAAATTCTATATTCAAATAACGTGTGTAAATTCTTATCATTAAAGTGTAGCTTAATTCTGGACGAGTAGTTATTTTATATTTCATAAAATACGGATGAATCGTTATGTTCTATGCGTTTTTAATTACTTCGCGTAGAAAACAATTCGACGACTATTGCCGTGCAGGCAATAATTCGGACATTTCATTTATAATTGCAAAAAAGCATATGTTTCACCCTAGTTCTTAATGCGCTCAAGTGTCTTTCACGCGTTTCTCAGCTTTCGCATCAGCGTATCACGGACGTAGTGGCCGCTTACCATCCAGACATTCCCCGTCCGCGCCCTGGCGACCATTGTTCCTCTCGTAAAAATCGTAATCCGAACCCGTGTCGTAATAAACCGGATTGCCCATGTCCATGTCCCTGGAGTCCCGATCGCTGAGCTCGCAATTGTCCCTCTCGGCCCCGTAAGGCGCAGTGTACGGTCGGTAATTGAAGGACCTGCAAATGACGTTGGGAATTTGCGAGCATTGTCCAATCGATTGTCCAAACAAACGCCATCGGATCATTCCTAATTCAATTTCAAGCTTCCTGGGTCACAAACATCTCTTGAACAAACTGTCGGAATTCTACGTTTCACCGTTGTAGGTACCACATCTTTTAAAGAACGTCCTACTTAGATACGTTCATTACAGAATGTTTTCTATTTTGTATATTATTAATATATAACAGCGGAATTTAATTTAATTTTTTTACATTAACTTCCACACATCATTCGCTCCAATTATTTATCAGTTTTTTAATTGCTGTAATAATTTGATTACGTTAATAAGACATGTATATGCGGTTGAATGTATTTTGGTGAAATGAAACAGAATTTCTAATTATTGTGACAGAATTCAATATTTTAGAAGTAGAAACATTTTATAGATTTAATTATTCGGATTTGATTAGTATTTTCCAGCTCTGATGAATTTCTATCTATACCACTAGCTATGCCCTAAAATATTTTGCTGCTTAAATCAATCATGTAAACCTATTATTACTTGAAAATCATATTTAAATTGAATTTAGATTAAAATGCTTTTTTAATTTTCTTTAGATGGCTTATATAGTTAAATCTAATTCTGAAAAATAGTAGAGAGAAAGATGAAGTTTATCTGCATCAAGCACATCTTTTGAATTAATTGCTTGCCTAAAACTTCATCGCTTTTCGACACTAATTTAAATTCTCGTCTAATTATATTTATTTGTATAAGTTCAACCATTACCTGCAAACGAAGTCTCTAGCATCGGCACATTCCCTCTCGCACTGAGCCAACGACGAGGCAGTGGTGTACCGTCGAACGAACGGCTTCCGTACTCTGGTACGAGATCCAACTTGCCTGAAATTGTCCTGCTCCTCGCATCTAGACACTAACGGGGGCCTGCCTATGATGGGCCTACCTGCGATGGGCCCACCAGCAGTTCCAAATGGACGAGAGTTGTAGACTCCGCCTTCACCTATGTACCCGCCACCAACAATACCGCCGTCGTCGTATCCTCCGTATCCTCCTAGAGGACGCGTTGGACCGTACGGCCCACCGCCATAATGAGGTCTTGGCTCGGGACCACTTTGAGGACCACGAACGTCGTCGACAAATCCGGGCGGGTACATTCCTGGCGGCGGATACCTGCTTTTAATTAAATCTCAACGTCATTTTTCTACGACAAATCGTGGATCATCAAGATTGTTGTTGTTGTTGTTGTTATTATTATTATTATTATTATTCAGTGGCGCTTTAATAGTCACTGATGTCCGATGTAATTAAAACATTTTAAAACGCAAAATATTGTAAAAAATAGATGTGATTTTTTCACGGTGTGATTTTCAATATTAGATGACGTAAAAAAATAGCTAGATAGCAGTATAAAATGTAATTAATTCCGCTATTATTTATTACGCGGATATTAGATTTAGTAATTTTTATCAGTGTAAGAAAAGAGAATGATACTTTATTGCGGCATATGCGGCAAATAAAAACTTACTAGAGAGACGACGCGTTAATGGAAAAGTGATAACGTAAAAAAAAATTTAAATTTGATATAATTATGTGTAATTTCGCGACTTACCGACTAGCATAAGGATCCTTGTCTGGATATCTTCCACTAGCTGGATATCGATCGATAGGAGATCTATCACCACCTAATCCCATAGGATATCGGTCCACAGGGTCTTCTGGATAAGGATACCGGTCTATTGTATTGGGATATCGATCGATCATGTCAGTAGGATATCGGCTTGGAATCACACGAACCCCGTGTATTACTGTAGGATATCGGTCACTCGCGGGATATCGGTCACTCGCGGGGTATCGATCATTCGCGGGATATCGATCACTCACGGGATATCGGTCACTTGGAGGATATCTCCCCAGAGTTCCGGCGTCGGGATATCTATTGACGCCATTAGGACGACGATCTCCTCCTCTAACAGGATATCGATCAGACATGGGATATCTATCCGTATTGGGATATCGATCGCTAATTGGATAACGATCAGGATAGCGGTCTCCTACAGGATAACGATCTCCTGTAGGATAACGATCTCCTGTGGGATAACGATCTCCTGTGGGATAACGATCTCCTGTGGGATAACGATCTCCTGTGGGATAACGATCTCCTGTGGGATAACGATCTCCTGTGGGATAACGATCTCCTGTGGGATAACGATCTCCTGTGGGATAACGATCTCCTGTGGGATAACGATCTCCTGTGGGATAACGATCTCCTGTGGGATAACGATCTCCTGTGGGATAACGATCTCCTGTGGGATAACGATCTCCTGTGGGATAACGATCTCCTGTGGGATAACGATCTCCTGCGGGATAACGGTCGGGATATCGATCACCAAGAGGATGGCGATCAGGATAATTATCGGATTCACCTAAAGGATATCTGTTATCCGGATATCTATCGTCTAAGGGACGACGATCAGGATATCGATCTGCTGGATAACGGTCTGGATAACGATCGGGATATCGATCTGGATAACGATCTGGTATACGGTCCGGTATACGATCCGGTACACGATCTGGATAGCGATCTGGATAACGATCCGGTATACGATCTGGATAGCGATCTGGATAACGATCCGGTTTGACGCTGGTAGAATATCCCTTGTCGTAATCGTCCGGGTATCCTGAAAGCAACAATTTAACAAATTTCGACATCGTAATTAATTATGTAAATCAAATGTTTAATATTTTTAAGTAATATGAAAACTGGTAAACAAACAGATGATAAACATTTAGCAATGCTAAGAACCTTATAAAATTGGTTTTTTATAATAATCAGATTATTTTTTTTAAATTTAAATTTTAAAATTCTAAGAACAGAAAATTCAGCGATCCTACAAATCCTACAATTCTTAAAAAATAAGATCTTTTTAAATTTCTTTGTCCTCGAAGGGTTAATACGGAATGCCGTTATAGTAAAAATATAAAATTAGAATTAGATCACATTTAGCATTGAAAATGCAGTGTGAATGCAATGTGGATTAGCTTGGTATTCGCACGACAAGATTTATGATACTCTTTAACAGATGATGGTTAACAATTGTGTCTAACGGCAATTATAAACATCTGTTTAAGATCTTGTCCCATTAAGACAATTTATGTGATTACTCGGCAGCTCTATGAATAATTACACAACTTTATCTAACACGTCGACATACGATATTACTCTGAATTAATAAAGCGATTCTAACCGGGTCTTCCTAAAGAGGGTCGTCCAAAGTTTGTGTCCTGTCCCAAGGGATCCGGTCTGTAGCCAGGGCCATCGCGATCGCCGTCTAGATATTGATCTGTTGGTACAATGCGGTCGTTAAATTAAACATTGAGCTATGCTAATAAAACTGTATCGCTGTTCCAAGACGTTCTCAAAAGTCGCAGTACGATCACGTAGTGATACAAGTCAATTTCACACATCGACACAGTATATAAGTTCAAAAAAAGAACTAAGCCGATTTAAAATTTTTCGTAAATAATTAGAATAATAACGATAAACGTTAACAAATTTACATAAACATTAATAATTAATAAACATTATTAATTTCGCACTCAATAATGCAACTGTTAGCTAATACCATGTCATATTACATTTATATTGTTGAATGTGAAATTATAACATTAATGTTATATTAACTTTTAATTAGGATCAACTCGAACAACAGAAACATCGTACGATGCGTCTCCTTCCTCGCGATGAACGGACAGACAATCGATACTCACGCATGAGATTCTCGTAATAGTCATAATCGGCATCGTAGATAATCCGGTTACCATCCCTTTGATTGAATCGGCTTAATCGGCAAGTGTGATAATGCTCAGAGTAAACGGCGCTACGGCATTGGAAGCTCGTCTGCCGGAGGCACTCGTCCAGACACTCACTGAGGCTACGTCCGGTGATCTCCGAATGAAACTCGCCACTCAAACGCGAATTCCGATAACGCTGGAAAGCCGTATCTGGACGACGACCGTCGGAGAAGAGATGCGACGATGAGCTGCTGTCCGGGTATTCGGAGCCGCGCGCTACGGACGGATCTACGCTTCGTAAGTGGGCATTGATAACGAGTTGTGAATCACCAACTGACCATTGTTAATTAAAAATCTTACGCCTCGTTAGAATATAATATAATACAGAGTAGGAAAAGCATAGCACCGATATATTGAATTCTCAACTAACACCGTACGTTTTATATAGTAAGTAATAAATTAGCCCTTCAATATTATATATATATTGTGCCACAGGTGCAACGTATTGTTTACAGTATGGTATATTCAACTTAATTTCGATTGCTTATAACTTTTATAAAAATAACGTATTGTAACCATTTTTTAAAAATAATAAATAGAAATTTCCAAAAAAAATAGTTTTTTTTAAATTGGATACGCCATACCGAGATTGATATTGAAGAGGTAATATAATTTTAAAATTACATATTGGATTAAATCTTTATTTTATCTATTTACACCAAAACCAAGTTAGTGTGAAATTAATTATAAAAAGGTTTAGTAATTAATGGAATTTACATAATAAACCAAGTTAATAATTAATAAAATTAAATTAAAGAAAAAATAGTTTAATAAAAGCTTGGTTTCTTGAAACGTAGAAATTAATTTTAATGTTCTGGAAAAATCATTATCCATTCTGTCATTGAATATATCACGAATGTTATTTACTTACATAATGAGATAAAATAACAGTAGACTAAAATAAAGACAGGCAAAATGAGATATAAAAAATTAATATTAAAATTTTGCATACACTCACGATTATCTAAGCACACCAAGTCGTAAAAATGATGACTCGGGCTGCTGCTAACTCCAATGTCGTCCTTTTGTGAAACAGAATCCTCTTCGGATATGACGCACTGCCGCGTTTGTTCGTCAAACTCGACGCTGCGACAGAAATATTTTTCTGCTCTAGGACATAGCGCCTGACATTCCTCCAAAGTAAGATTCGTGTATATATCCACTTCAAATGGGCCGCGTAAACGTTTGTTTTCTTCTTTGACGAACACTATGAGACCGTCGCATCGTCTCTCGGCTGTTCAGATTTGTAAAAAATATTTCTTTAATTTTAATTATATGTATAATTATATAATGTAAATATATTATTAATTAATATAATTATATAATAATGTAATTATGAAATATAATAATGTAATTATATTTCTCAAGATATTTAATATGTCAATTAACATCTTTTAAATATACTTACTTTTTCGAGCAATTTCTAATTATTACAAGACAATTTCTGACGCAATTTTTTGATAAGATACATAAATTAAATACTTTATATTGTACAAAAATTAATTAGAAACGTACTGTTAAGGCAAGTATTTTCCAAATAATCAGAATTCGGATCGTCCTCCAATAATTCAGGATGAGTTCTCCTAGTGAAACGACTGAGAGAACAGCTTCTCAGGGCAGTGTCATATGTTGCTGATCGACAGACGAAACTGAATTCGTTGAGGCACCTAAACATAAAATTAAAATACTATTTCTTTTACGACACGCGATAATTTTTAATCATCGCGAGTATACCTGTCCTCGCAGTCGGTTCTGTTAGCGGCACTGACTTCTTTGATGTCTGTTAAGGGTAGCTTTAGCTTCTTTCTCGGATGCCTCTCGAACACGTAACGACGATTTGGACATTCTCTCTCTATTCTGTCGGCTAAGAATGAAACAGATATATTAACTAGTAAACTCTAGAAATTATTAAAGACAAATACACACAGGTATAGAAATCAATTTTTAAAGAACTCCACATCAACTTGAAGAATTATTTTTAGTCAAAGAATTGCGGAGAATAGTTCGTTTCACTTTCCACCATTATTAGAAAAAAAAAATCATTACGCCTTTCTGACAAGCAAAATTCGTGAACGAGTGGCTATTTCAATTAACAGAATGCATCGTGGCGCGATGCACACAACGATATTTTTTCTGTCGACGTTTTTCTGTCTATACGGATACTCACACGTTAGGCACACTTCGGTGAAGTGCACGCTATTTGGTACGAGCATGAGATTTCCGATGCCCTCCGGCTGCGCCTGTTCTCTCGTTAAATAGCAAGTACTCTCCTCATATTCGGCGGCGCCGCTGAAGGACGCGATTCTGCTGCCAGGTTGAAAGTCGAAGCTCGTACATGCGCGGACCAGATTGTTCGTCGCCGTTCTGTCGCGCAGACAGAGCTCTTGACACTTCTCCAAGACCCTAAACGGAGGCGCTGAGTCTCGCACCTGCCATAAAAAAGAATTTCTTAACATCGGATACTTTATTGCAATTACGTCACAATCACGTTACGTCTTTTCCTACTCGACCATCGCGTCGCGGAATTGTGGAAAATTAAGACTCGAACGATCGATCGATCGATCGTTCACGCGAAATAGAGCGAGGATGAGAGTTCGTTTGAAATAGCAAACACTTCTTCAAGTAATAGGCAGCTAGTCGTAAGCAATTCGTAGTCGCATACGGTACATTAACGAAAATGGCTTAAACACGACCCGAATGGATAATACAGTTTTTCACAGAATTAGACAGTGATCAATTTAAATGTGAATGCTATAATGACAATTTCACCTGTCATTATAATGGCATGAGAAACCATTTATTCAAAAAACATATGTCTTTTGAAGAAAAAGAAAAAAAAAAGATGCATTGTCAAATGGTTTTTAAAAAGGAAACACATCACCGAGATGACTTCTAATTATTACGTTGTGACAATTAGCGTTATATATTATTTTGGATGCAAGAAACTCATGTTCTGAGTATGATCTTATTTCTGATATATGTTTTTTGACATTTATTTGAAATTTATCATTTGGCGTGCCGGATAATATTATTTTAGAAAATGCCATAACATAATAGTTAGGCCTCTGGCCTGTGTCACACCTCTCTCATATGCTTGTGGTGCACACGCTAATTATTTAATTGCCACAAGCATACGAGATTTACAGTTTTAATGCCGATTCCGAACGGCGGATTTTTCGAGAGATGTTTCTGTGGGCAAAGATACTCTCGAGAGAGATTTGCCAGTCTTTTTCGAGAGGAGACACGAGCGTAAATATTTTGTAAATATTTTGATTCCTACTGAACTCAAACCGGATCTTTGGCATGATAGACCAGTGCGCTGTCTGCCATGCCATGCTCGCGCTCGAAGCATTTGACAATAGAAAAGCAGAGGGTATTGACGAATAACGAGATATACTAAATAATTACAAAATAAAGAATACCGAATGCAGAATGCTTATTATGTTCGGCATTGTTACTAAAATAGTTTTAAAAATAGGGATGCACTGGATATCTCCAGGAAGTATCCGGTATCCAGTATTATCCGCCATTTTTTACTATCCGACCGGATAGCCGGATAATTAATATCCGGTTGAAATTTGATATTATTAAATTGTTGATTTTTTTCTTATACAAATATTCTAGAAAAAAGTATGCATACGTTAATTAATATTGAAAATATGATATCTGAAAATTTTAGAAATAAAAGAGTTGCGTGTTTACAATGCTATAATAATTACTTTTTTTTTTTAGTAATAAATTGATGACAATGTTACATTATTTATTATACATTTTTTAAAGGTAATAGTAATTTTTTAAGTACCTAATGGCAATAAATATAATCGTTACTGTTATCATTATTTTGTATACATACAATACATAAGTGGAATGTGTATAAGCGAGTTTTAAAAGAAAATAGTATTATATAAGAGTATTATAAAAGAGTGTTTGACCATTAATGACGCAGATAATTGGATCTCTATCAAATGTCATCAAAATTCGGTGAAAAATAAAATTAATAACAAATTTTAATAATAGCAAACTTTTTTTAGCAATGAATAACGAGTTAAGGTAACAAATTGCTTTTAGAAATAACTTTGCCAACTCTGCTGAAAAGTTACATTTCTAGGATGTTTTACTAAATTGTTTAGTAAAATTTGAATGATAGTTAAGGATGTATCATCTGTATTTTTTAACAAAATAAAAAGTTATGTTAAAAATAAAAAGTTGTTTGCTACGATGTAATAATACACATGTGTGACCGCAGATTATGATATATATAATAAATAAAACAATAAGGCACATTCTCTCGCACACGCGGCGCTGTCATAAGTGAAAATTAGCTTTAGCCGATACTATAAGCTCGTCGATACTATACTTTCTCTTATAACATTTCACTTTTATACGGAAGGTATGCATTTCCAATTTCAGTCACATTTTACAGAGACTATACACCTGATACATCCTTGAAAGCCCAAGTACTTTTGAAATATCCTCGATCTTACCACATCGTCGTCAAAACCCTGAAGCTGCTGGTCCGGAAGTCTCTCGTAAACCACTCTACCCAGACCACCGTTGCAGGTTGTTTGCGCTAAAACTATATAATGATTTTTTCGTTAGCACCTGTTTGTTGGCTAACGCGCGATAGATCCTGATTTTATTATTTATATACTATTTTGTGTAGAAAGCACAGATTATTATTTCCTTTTCGCATAAAATTTAGGCTATTTCCTGTAGTCAACAAACACGCTTGCGCGCTCTTCGATTTTATCAGATATGTATTTTCATACCATAAGTGGCACGGATAGTGACACAATACCGACCAACAGTTTCATAAGTTCAACATGACATCGTTCTGTATCCCCCGAGCTGTTCTCTCGCACATTCGCAGAACTATTTAGTTACGTATGAATTTCAAACGTATTTTTAGAATACAATTGCCGCGCTGAATAGAAAATCGAAAAGATATTTTTTTAATCCTAATTTTAAGTAAAAGTTATTATTAACTTAATACGATTGCTATTTAACATTTCAATCGTTATATTAATTAATTTAAAATAAATTATTAATAAACTTATAATTAGATCATATTTAATTAACGATACACACATTAAAAAAAAAGCATTTAAATTCTTTTCTCCAATTCTGTTGATTTTTAAATAAAACCTATTGAAATCTAAAGTAATGTATATTGAATATATTGGTAATATCTATTAAAAGGACCTCTTACACTAATTATATACAAAATTAAATCTCGAAAGAATTGATTTTCACGTATAATGTAGCTTATAATGTGGTAAAAGACGTCATAGGCACATAGCTCAATAATGTATAATTGTTGAATTATACATTAATTTATGGTGTATCAAAGGTGCTCTTTGAGCACAAGTTTTGTATATATTTTATACCATCTTTGACCAGTCGTAGCTTTACATACACACATACACTGTCTCTCCATTATATAATACATTATTTCTTCAAAACTATTCATTATTGAGCCTTATTTCTGTGATATCTTTTATTCGTCATATTATAAGTTATATTATATGTGTAAACTAACTTTAATTTTACAAATAAAAATCCACTCATTTTCAGAACTCAATTTTCCATATAATTTGAGTGCAAGATCGATTCTTTGATCTAAAATAAACTGTAAAAAATTTTAATTTATTACGTTCTTACCATTGACCAATAGATCTAACACGATGAGTATCCAAATGGATGGCAGCATACTAATTGATCTGTGAGCTTTCCGCATCGTGATATTGAAATGTACGGATTACTATGTCGCATTCATGCCAATCGCTATTAAGCTCTGAAAATTATTAAACATATTTGATACTTAAAAGAGAAGAGATATTTTTTACAATTTATAATTATTATAACTTTTTGTAATTTTAATTTTAATATTACCAAATATATATATTGTTACAGAAATAAATTATTTTGTGTTATTTTCTGTAAAATTACCGTAGTAGAAATTACAGAAATAGAAATTAAAAACTGTTTGACAAAAATTGTTTTTTGTTTCGAAAGGAGAGGAAAAATTTAATTTGCGAGGTAAGAATTGCTTTTCTAAGGGGTAGCTTTATATTGAAGTTTAATAATGCAAGAGATCTCGAAATTATTTACGCGACAGTCGAAAGGCTGCACGTATTTTCCATGTGTATTTTTCTTTCATGAAATAGATGTGTTGAGAAAAATATTGAAACTGTTTATATGTATCACGAAAGCATATGAAAAAATTTTAAAATTCCTATTGTATAAATATTTTATTTCACATTTATATAATTAGGAAAATATTTTTAATTAAAGGAATTCCCAAAAATATGTTTATAAAAAAATACATGTATGAGAAAAAACAAATAGAATAATTATTGCTTAGTTGTTTTTGAAAATCATTCAAATGTTTCATCTGTTATTTCCCTGGAGGGCTAGGTGTAACGGACGCAAATCCAGTTTTTGTTCCTTGTATGGAAAAAAAAGGTACATGAAAAATCAGAATACAGATAAAACTACTAGCGAATACCATTTATTTTGACCGACGAACGTTTCTACGTATGTACTCGAGATACGTGGGGACCGGCATGTATTAAACTTTATGGGATTCCTGACGAGCACTCACCCTGAACACTACTACACACTATCACCCTCGCACGCCTGTATACAAACGCGGTTGCCAAAAGACCAGCACACGCTTGTAAGGGCAACGAAGCGTGGTTCCAACTTTCAGGCATTACATTATTAGCCGGTTGCTATTATATGTCCGGTTATCGTGATTGACGTAGGAGAGCGCTGGTTCAATCATCGGAAACGAAAGAACAAGCAGGGTCATCTTCGTACGCAATTTCGATGATTTCACCACCCGATAACATCGAAAATCGAAAGAAAAAAGGGCAAACGTTTATATGCAATATACGTATATTTTCTAAAATAATTTCGCGAATGTAATATCTACCAAAACAATTTCAGGCCTTAAAATACATATATTTTCATAATTTTTTTGCAAATCAGTGTTATATTTTTACGTTAATTTTTTACATAAAGTTTATGATATTTTTCAACATACTAGTCTTGTATTAAATTAATACAAAATTTTGGATAGACTGTTTCGGACATTAAATTATTTACATAATATTGTCACATCCTATTAATTATAAGCTTTCTGTACAAAGTATGATGAGAACATTATTCGGCTTTATTGGTCTACAATTTTGAAAATACCGCGGTCGAGCTCAGCGAGAGTTCATATATAGCATCCCCATAATAGGATGTTTATGATATTGACAAGGTATCGTAAAGAGGATTTTATTGTTAGGGTAATTTATGTTTACTCGTTGATGCACAAGCGTACTTGCACAAGCGTTCGTAACGAGTGCCAATAGCCGGTTCGTTCACCGATTGTGTCCATCGTGCAGCGCTGCTTATTAATCGCGTTATGGTTTATCGCCTCGATAATTGCGTCTGTCACCGACAACGCAGTATAAAAGCTTATTCTGATGTTAATATCATCGGTCGTGTGAGAAAATTATGGTGCTCATTCGTAATAATTCGCATAATATTGCCCGTGCGAAATTACATTTCTGCAATTGTCCTCATTGGATTGTCGGATTTATGACATGCTGCTCGCCGTATGCAAATTATTTCGGGAAATTACTCGAATTAAGGTAATTAAACATACCATCAGACACGAGTGTGGCAGCATCAATTAAAAATATGGAAGTAAAGGAGACGTTAAAAGTCTCCTTTACTTTTAATAAGGACGATTCGCGAGGAATAGTTTTAATTCTTGCTGTCATTGTAAAATTTTATATTGTTACAAAATATATTAAAAATTGTCATATTACCAAATATTAAATATTTTATATAATATGAATTTATCGCGAGAACGTGCTACTAATTATAGACGTAATAGATTATACAGACTGCACATTTTCTGATCTTAGCATTTATTAGAAAGAACTAAATCATATCTCTCTTCAACTATATGTATATTTTAAAGAGAGATATAAAAAAATATATAGATAAGTATTCTTATTGAACGTTCTAAGATCATTTCAAGTACTAAGATAATCCATACGGAGTTATAACATAATTGTTACTTATACGGAAAGAATAATTTTGCTAAATACAAAACTGTAGGTTTAAGAAAAAAGAGAGAAGGAAAGCGCGCGATATGATTCAATCTATTTTTTTTTTAAACTGATAATGACAATTTTATACTAAGAAAAATGTATAATTGGATTAATTTGAATTCTGGTTGAAAATAGAGAGAGAGAGAGAGAGAGAGAGAGAGAGAGAGAGAGAGAGAAGAATCAGAATTTCTGGTTAAATCTACTAAAATTCTAGTTGAGATAATCGGAATTCTAATTGATATATCAAAATCTTCTAGCGCGTCCATTTTCAACTAGATATTTTTCTCAGTATAAAAATTTATTCTTAAGGCTATGACAGACAAAGAGACTTAGCAGTAAGAAGTAAGTAGTAAGCAAATCAACATTTAAAATTTGCTATTATTTAGATTATTGCCTTACGTTTCTACCGTGATTGGTCGATTCGTAAAGTCGATTTGCTGCTTACATCTTACTGTCTTATGGTAGGAGCACAGAGTCTTGCATAACGCATAATGCGCAATGCATAAAAAATGAACTAATCAAAATCCTTCATTTTCTTCCTTTCCATGAAATAAAAGATTCTGATTGGTTGATTTTCTTTTGCCTTATGCGTTATGCAAGAATCCGTGCTTTTTCCCTTACGTTCTTTTTGTACGTTCTTTTATGCTTTTTCCCTTACGTTCTTTTTGTTACGTTCTTTTATGTCGAATAGCCTTTATTAAATGTGTGCTACTAATATGACTGATATGAAACAAACGAGAGAAATGAGTTATTCAGGAGAGCAAAAGACAGTTTGAAGATCATTGTTGATGCGATTCACAATTTGAGTTTTGGAAGGCATCAGTCTTTTGAAAGCTTGCTTTCCGTAGTTGCTTTTCATTGCGAGCTTCCACCGCAGGATCTATTGTCGCGGTGCTTTGAACTCTATTGGTACGCGGATGGTATTGTTGCGTGCGTACTCGTGTCGAACAGGGAATGAATTCGGTCATTGTTGTGTGACGTTCATGTTAATGGAACTTTTGCACGCAACGACAAATTATTATCTGGTAATGTGCCATTCTATTAATGTGTCGGATTCGGGCACGACGCGATGCTGAGAGCGAGATGACAACGCATCCAGAAACTTTGAGATCCGGCCGAGGTCTTCTGAGCCACTTGAAAATTATTACCAGTAAAATACGATCGCGGCTATGCAAAAGATCGTGGAAAATCAGTATAATACACGCATCTAACAATTGCGTAACGATCTCTTGAGTAATTATCATAATTGTAGCAATACAAATATACACTACGCTCCAACGCGTTAATTGCCGCGCGATACGTCATTAAAATAATTAATTTTGAGTAATGCAGTCATGCAAGATACTTTATTCTTATATAGACACATAACTATGTGAATAATGTTCCGTGAAAATATTTTTTTCTATACAGAAAGAACGGTTTTGTTAAAATATCTAAAAATTTAACTATATAGATATAGATTTAGACGTTAAAATACAATAATTATGTAAGACCCTGAAGCTGATTGTCGGTGTCAAAACTTTTTGTAATATTGTTTATTACGTTTGAGCATCTTACATAATTATTTGGATAATCCAATAAAATTATTTCCAGATTTGTATCAAGCTAAATTCTTAGAATTTTAGCGATATCACTCTTTGCTCGTCATAAAGGAAAATTAATCGTCACGATGAGTTTACTAAAAAATCATTATTTACTTATATAAGCTCATATAAAAATCTTACGTTTTCATGAAATAAATTTTTCATCTAGAGTTGCAATTATCGATTCAATAAATCTTCTTTCGAGGAAGAGATAACGGAACATGAGGGTACTATAATGGTGGACGGTAAAATAAATTCACCCTTACGTGCGCGGATTTAATCTTTCGCCCGTAACATTCTCTTAAAAAAAAAAAGCTATAAAATTATCATTAAAGTCGAGTAATTACTAGTGACTTTTCCCAATATACGCAAAGTTACACGTAACGTAACGTACTCTTAGTTGTAATTTCCTTTTCAAAAATAGAATACACATGTTACATT